TGTGTGTGTGTGTGTGTGTGTGTGTGTGTGTGTGTGTGTTTCTTTCAGGAAAGGGTTTCTCAGTGTACCCCAGCTTTCCTGAAACTCACTTTGTAGATCAGGCTAGCCTGGAACTCACAGAAATCCTCCTGTCTCTACCTCCCAGGTGCTGAGATCAAAGGCATGAGCTACCATTGCCCAGCTGTTTGGGTGGCTTTTTTAAGATGATTATTTTTATTTTATGTGTGTGACACCATGTTTGCATGCATGGGTGTATGTATTTGCATTACATGTGTGCAGTGACTGCAGAGACCAAAAAAGCATGTCAGATCCTTTGGAACTGGAGTTACAGTGACTGTGATTGCCATGTGGGTGTTGGGAACCAAAGATGGGTCTCCAACTGCAATGGGCAGTTTTTAGGGAGGGAAAGGTAGTGCTTGGGTTCTCCTGCTTTGGTACTGTTTTGTCGGTGACTCTGATTTGCTTTTCTTTTACTCTTGTATTAGCTTTGGCAGCAATCCTTGGAGCGGTGCCATTTCTGGGGACATATTGGGCAGCAGTACCTGCCGTTCTAGACCTGTGGCTGACACAAGGGTTAGGATGTAAGGCCATCTTGCTCCTGGTCTTTCATCTCTTGCCAACATACTTCGTAGACACTGCAATCTACTCTGACATATCAGGGTAAGTGTTCTTATAGGGCATTTAGTTTGGGGAGAGATGGGAAAGGACTACAGGCAGAATTTTTCAGTTGGATAGTTTTGTGATCCCCTGACAATGAAATTTGGATGTAGAATAATGTTGCTATGATAGGATTGTGATTGTTATTTTGTAAGGTTTATAAAATCTCAAATTAAAATAAAATTATGCATAGTTCTGTTTTGTTTTTCGTGGCATTTAGCCTAGGAAAGAAACATTATCAGGCATACCTAAAATATTTTAAATATAGTAAAGAGTTAGTAGTTATTTCAGTGCTGCTTTGCCTTTGGAGAAAATGATTATGCAATTGTATGTCTACAGATTCCAACGTAAGGTGAATCTCAGCATGCTCTAACGTCTGTGCTCTTTTGAGATACTGTGTATAGTTCATGAGGAACACAGCTTCACCTTAAAACTAGTCTAACTTTGATGGTATGATGAAGATCTACCTTTCTAGGTTTTGATACCTGTATAGAGATTACATCTAGTCTTCAAGCAGGTTGTCACTTACACATGTATCCAGATTCGCATTGTTCATTAGAATCTCAGACCCAACCAAGTGGATTTATACCTGTGACTTAGAATATAGCCTACGAAACCCACCCAAAACAGTTAATGCATTTATTATCTTCATTATTATGATGATTATTGTTTTGAGAAAGGATCTCACTGTGTAGCTCAGCTAGAACTCTCAGTTCACAGTCCCTAGCCTCAGCTTCCTAAATTCTGTAGTTCAGTTGAGGCTCACATCTGGCCTCATTCTGTGTACTGTTAGTGGGGTTGAGTGCCTGTGGTATGGGCAATGGGGTATTGAAAAACATACTAGGGATGATGTTGCACACATTTAGTCCCATCTCTTAGGATGCAGAGGCAGATGGATGATCTCTGTGAGTTCAAAGTCAGCTTGGGTTACATAGCCAGTTCAAGGCCATCCAGGGCTACAACGTGACATTCTTGTCCCCAAAACAAAAAACTTAAAGGCCAGTGGGACAGGGCCTCAAATTCTAGAAACAGCTATCTTCAGCTATTTTAAATTTTCTTGAATTAAGTTATATGGTGACTTATTTCCTCTCAAATAAGTTAGAAATAGTCTAGAACAGTGCAGAAACCCCACTGAACCAGAGTGAATGAACCAGGCAACCCCAAGCTATCCTATAGTGGAATTTATATGCCTCCCCTTTGAGAGGGAAAAGTAAAATTGCCAAAAATATCATCCAGGTCTGTGATCCCCAGAATTCAGGAATCAGAGTCATGAGGATTGCCAGTTGGAGGCCCACTTGAGCTACATAACAAAATCCTATTTCAGCATGAAAAATACCCTGACGCTGGAGAATTGTCTTCATGGTTAAGTGTATTCTTTTTCCAAAGGACCTGAGTGATTCCCAGCATCCACATTGGACAGCTCACAACTGTCTGTATTTGCAGTTCTAGGGAATCCAAGATCCTCTTCTGGCATGCAGTCGTGCAACACATACACAGAAATAAAAATCTCCTGCCAAGCAAACAAACAAAAAAACTCCAACAAAAACAAAGCCTGTCTTAGTGGTGCGCACTTATAAGCCCAGCACTTGAGAGGCATAGGCAGGAAAGTAAATTTCAAAGCCATTTATTTTACATTGCAAGCTGCAGGCCAGTTGGGGCAACAGGGTGAGACCCTGCTTCAAAGCACCCAACCACAGAATCAGTACTGTGGTCAACTGATGTTTTAAAAATTGAGGTTTAAACAGTATATGATGTATACTTGTGCTCCATATATTTAAACTTTGCTGTAAATTGTTTATATTAAGGATTATAGTTGTAATTTAAGGTTTATATATGTGATTTTCTCATAACAAATGCTTTATTTGATCAGTTATTGGGAAATGAAAAGTTTGGTGTATATTATATATTTTAATAATTTATTTTCATTTTGTGTGCATTGGTCTTTTGCCTGTGTGAATATCTGTGTGAGGGTGTGAGATCTTGGAGTTACAAACAGTTGTGAGCTGCCATGTGGGTGCTGGGATTTGAACCTGGGTCCTCTGGGAGAGCAGTCAGTACTCTTAACTGCTGAGCCATCTCTCCATCCCTAAATTATATACATAATATATATATTTCTTTTAATTATTTTGTGTGTGTGTGTGTGTGAGAGAGAGAGACATTTTATTAGAAAGGGGAGGGAGGGAGAAGGAAAGAGAAGAGGTACAGAGACACAGAGAGAGGACAGAAGAGAAGAGGGAGATAGGAGTAGAGAGAGAGAAGAGCCAGAAAGAGAGCAAGAGACTGTAAGTAAGGGGGGGGGTTGTCTTTTAAAGGGTCCTTTACACCTGCAGACTAGTACTCATGGAACCCTGGGCTGACCAGAATACTGCCTGAGTGCATTCTATCAGGTGACAGGGGCAGGCCAGCATAATGCCTGAATCTTTATATTTCTACCTTTACTTGTTATTAAAAAGGTGAGGAGTTAGGCGTGGCATGTTAGGGAATAAGAGTGTTGAGTTCTCAAGACTACTTCCTACTGACCTGGGGGGTGTTGATCATTTTGGGGAGACCTGAGAACACTGGGGTGCTGCCACATCCTGGGGTAACTGTCATCACAGTTCAGGCTGTATGGAACTCTCTGGTGCCACTTAGACCTAGCAGGATGTTGGCAGAGCAGAGTACAAAGTTAAGTTTAGGAAAAAAAATTTGTCTTAGGTGCTGGTACTTGAGGGGAAGAGGATCATAAGATGAGGGAGAGGTTCCCAAGGGGTCCCAAGATGAGAGAAGGGAGTCCCGGGACCAGGGAAGGTTGAATAATATTTATCAGGAGTGAATCTGACCTGTTTGGGTGGGTCCAATTTGGCTCCTTGGAACTTACAAGAATTCTTTGAGTTTGCAAAAACAAATTTTAGATACATTAGCAGTATACTCATATCAGAAACAATTTGGTTAAAAGCATTAACACTTTTAAAACTGACAGATATCTTTAGCAAATGAAAAGCACCTTAATTTTGAGCTTGCAGTTATGATTATATAGTGGTATAGTGTGGTGTTTAGTTCCCTGTATTGAGTAATTAAGATTTTAAACAGTAACATAAGGAGAGAGAGCAATCTGGAACATGTTTCATTTTTTTAAATGTCTCAACTCACTTTGTCATCACGTAGGCCTTTTTATCCTCAGACCTTTATAACTTTAATCCATACACCTTACATTACCATCTTAGACCTTCCATTCTCAGACATTTACACCTTACATTCTCAGACCTTCATAACTTGCATTTATCCACCTTGTTAGACCTTTCCATCCTCAGACCTTTGTAACTTACATTTTCAGACCTTCATACACCTTACACTTTTTCCTATTTTCCCATAGATAAACCCTAAAATACCTGTTCCTGAAATCTGTTTTGTGACAGTTAGAGCCTTGGCTGTTGTTTTAAGCTGGCAAAGCTTCCAGTCGTCAAAAGCATCAGAGTTCTTGAGAAGGATAAAATTTTACCTAAGTTAATGACTAAAGAATAACAGAGACTTACTAGTTGGCTGCATGGAAAGCCACCCCCAGGTCCTCCACAGTTGTTGAGGTCAGAAGCTTTAAGGACACCTGCCTTATGCTGATAGCATGAGACCTGTGGATTAGGTTCTTTAGAAAGACTTGCCTACTGTTGACCCAAGCAAAGTGGAGAAAGTAGTTTCTACTGTCTTCTTGTCTACGGTCTGAAGAGTCCTTTGCACAGTTGAGGTGGAAGGCAGGATTGCTCAGTGGCTAGCATTGCCACTTTTGTGGGTGGAGTTTCTTCAGTGTCTACCAGTCTTCTTGGAGGAAATGGAGTGGGGCAAGCAGTTTTCCTGTCTCTCTTAAGGAAAACTTTTTAATAAAACATTTTAAATGCCATATTCTCTAGATCTCTGAGCATTTGAGGACTGTCTGTCTGTTTAGTATATTTCAGCAGACAAAATTTGGCTTTAGTTACTTGCCTTAAACACATAGGTGACTAAGTAAGGCTTTATCCCTATAATTAATAAATCTGTATTTAGTATGGCTACAATGACATTAGTGCAGAATCTGTCTGCAGAACTCAAAGTAAGCTGTGAAGGGATATTTTACTCAGCCCTCTAGCATGACTGTAACTGGTTTTAACTTAGTAGGTTAGATTTAAACCTCTAAAGAACAAAGAAGTAGAAAAAAAATATCCCCTTTTGTAATAGAAGCTTAACCTCTGTAAATAGCTTACAGGAAGGACTGAGTGGTATAAATACTTTGTTAATTTGAAAAAGATCTGTATAACCTTAAACTTTATCATCAGTTAAAAATACATATCAATTTAAAAATAAAATTTTGTCTTTAAATATACATAACAATTTAGAAATATTTGAGACTTAGCATAGTTGAATTTAAGTTACATGTAGAGTTAGCTTGCATTTTTTTAAACAGTAGCTATATGTACATATACATAGATATATTAAATAGGACTGGGTAAAAGTAAGCAGCAGAGTGTGATCTTTGATTTGCATGTTGCAGCAAACAGACTGGATATTTAAAGATACAGAGTAGACCTAAATAACTGCCAGTGACAAGAAAGGATATCCACTGCGGATGGAACAGGCAAGGTTTTTGCATGAAATGTGTCCCCTACCGGGCCTGGAAAGGCACACCATTCCACAAACAAGCCATGCACAAAAGAGGCAGTGAAAGAAGAAATTAAGAGACAAAAAATAAAAGCCAAAAGGTAAATGAATTATGTCTATCAGCAGGGTTTGTCAGCAGAAGCTGGCTAGGCTGTCCCTCTGCCTAGGCTGAGGGAAAGGAGTAACCCCCAAAGTGGGCAGACCTACAGCTAGGCCACGTGGTCAAGATGACTGCTTTCAAAAACATGTTCCCAGCCAACAGAAGTTAAAAAACTGTCACAGTGTTCCGAGCAGATGCTGCCTCAGGTCAGGCCACTGTGAGCCGCTGGCATCTGCACAGAGCAAAACCATTATAGAAGGGCAGCAGAGACAGGACAAACAGGAGAGTGAGAGACATTTTGAACAGGAGCATAAGAGGTCTAGTGAAACAGGACACTCCCAGGTGGAAGGAGATTCCCACCCTGAGACAGGCTTGTGAGAGGTGGCAGGACGCCCCTGTAGCAGGCAGGGGAGTTTTAGCATGCCAGGAAGAGGAGGGAGACAGACAAGTGAAAAAGAGCAGAGGCCACACTAACAACTAGGGATCACTGGTAGAATTTAGGCACATGGTTTGATATGGGGGCCCAGCTTCCATGAGAGAGGCAGAGAAGATCCAAAGCCTATAATCTCCAGTGACCAAGAGACTAAGGGAGGATCAGATGGGAAAGGCACAGGCTGATTTTGTGATCCGTTGAGCACAAATCAGGGACCAGGGCTCCCAGAGCCTGAGAGACACGTGGTCACCCAGTACTGGGATTTTTGACCAGGCCAGAAAGGCAAAAGACCACAGTCTCGATATGGGCAGAGGTAGAGAAAGGGACAGGTTTACCAGACCTGGCAGTGGTGGATGGAAGAATCTAGAGATCCTTAGTTGTAAAAGTGACTGAGTGGAAGGTTACAGGGTCCCAGCATATCTCAGACTGCCACAGGCAGGAGCAAATGCTAGGAAAACCTGCTGAGTTACGTGCATCAAAATGTTGTTCTTTTGCTCCAAATGGTGTAGGATAAAGTTGGAAGGGGGTCCTGGCAGATTCCCTGGCTGGTGAGGGTGACTGAGGTGGGGGACAAACACACCAGGCAGACAGAGCTTGAGTGAGAAGTTTTATTAGAAAGGGGAGGGAGAGAAAAGGAATGAGAAAATAGGTGAAGAGACATAGAGACACAGAGAGGACAGAAGAGGGAGACAGGAGCAGAGAGAAGAGCTGGAAAGAGAGCAGAAAGAGCAGAAAGAGAGCAAAAGCCCTAAATTATATTTTTAAACTTTTATTTAAAAGCCCTCCTTCCCCCACTTAAAAGAATTTCTGATAACAATTTTCTTCAAACATATTGTTTAGGGAAAGTCTACCTGCCATATATGTGCCACTGCTATAAATCTCTTTTTGAAAGAAGGAAGAGAACTAAATTATAAACATTATGTTTTTGTTTCCTGAAGGCTGGCTTACCAGTGTGGGTTTGCTAACTGTAATATATTATCAAACATCCTTGCTGCGTCTTTAAGTATTTACCCTCCTTAAAATGTTCCACTCATTTGTGTTATTTAAAAACTATATAAACAAACAGACCATGATCATTCTTCATCCCTTTTACGTCAGAGGTCAGGGCTTATCTATACTGTGCTGCTTTATCTGCCTCATTCCATCCCATCAAGCCAGTGATGCCATGATAAGCTGCGGGACAGTTGTGACGCCTGTGAAATAAAAGTCTTGGGCTTTGTTGACAGATGCTTTCCTTATGTGGCCTTTTATTACACCTGTGGTAACCATATTTTTAGAAGGTTGCCAAAGGTCTAAACTGAGGAGTATTGCTGTTACTATTTTCGACAACTGTAATTATTGTTTTATTAAAGAAGCCATAGTTAACTGAATGCATACTAAATTGTACTCAATATTATCCTTAGAGGAAGTAAACCTTAGCAGGTATCTTAGACAACCAGCAGGAATTGTCTTCAGGAAGCCATGTGGAATGGGTAAAAACTACCTGATAACAGCTAGTTCTGTAACTCATGGGTACATACGCAAGAAAATCCTGTGTCTCAATATTATTACAATGTTCTTGATTCTGCATTGACGTAGTCTAAACAAAGATAGTAGTGGAATAAAGCCTGAAATATTAGAAAACCAACATTGTGTTAGAAAGTACTTGGGATTTACTCCACAGCTGGTACTCATTAGAAGTCCCTGAACCAGTGTGCTCTTTGTTCCAGAGGAGGCCATCCTTACCTGACTGGCTTAGCGGTGGCTGGTGGAGCATACTACCTGGGCCTGGAAGGAGCAATAATTGGGCCCATACTACTCTGCATACTTGTGGTTGCTTCCAATATCTACAGTGCCATGCTAGTGAGCCCTACGAATTCATTACCCACACCAAATCAGACACCGTGGCCTGCTCAGCCTCAGCGGTGAGTTCAGCATCTGGATGGTAACCATATGTAAACATAGACTGCCCTGTATGTTTTCAGTGATTACCTGCATCTAGACTTGTCAGGGTAAAAGTCTCTGAGCACTCACTATTCATTCACCATATTTCCATTAGTCCTCACGTTTTCTAATGCATTGTTGACATTAGATATTCCGATTATTGATATTCTGGCTGTAGTCACTTTCAGAATAGTTTTGAACATGGTCTAAAGTATACTGTGTACTCTTGAGACAGACCTTGTGTGGACAGTGTTTTTATTCGAATACTTACCTTTTGTTTGCTTGTTTGTTTTTTCAGTCAGGGTGTTTCTGTGTAGCTTTGTAGCCTTTCCTGGCACTCACTCTGTATACAAGGCTGGCATCAAACTCACAGAGATCTACCTGCCTCTTCCTCCTGAGTGCTGGCATTAAAGGCATGTGCTAGCACCACCCAGCTTCACTCTTTCTTTTTCATTGTTGTCTGGTGTACCTGTGTGTGAATATACAGTCTCATTTTTCAGTGCAATATTGAAAGGCATCAGATAACTGTCATTTTATGGTTGTTAGAAGACAGGGTTCTGTTAGTTACATCCTGGTGACTGTGAATTGTGTTTCACATGCTTGTATATCTAAAAGTGGAATGTCCGCTGTTTAATGTTAAAAACTTGGCAAAGCAGATGGACGGTGGTGGCACATGCTTCTTATCCCAGAACAAGGGAGGCAGAGGCAGGTGAATCTCTGTGAATTCAAGGCCAGCCTGGTCCACAGAGTGAGTTCCAGGACAGGCTCCAAAACTACACAGAGAAACTCTGTCTGGAAAAAACAAAAAAACAAAAAAACAACAACAAAAAAAACCCAAAACCAAAAAACTTGCAAAGTAAGCCAAGTGTGTTGGCTCATACCTGTAACCCCAACATTGGAAGGCAGAGGCAGGCTAATTATCAGTTTTGAGTACTCTGACAGCAGCTTAGGCAACATAGTGAGACTGTTCCAGAACCAAACAATGAAAACCTTACAAAATGTATTTTTTTCTGTAAAATATGCAGACATATAGCTTAGCAACATTTTCAAAACAATCAAAAAATTTTTATTTTGGTTTTTCTTTTTTTAGAGACAGGGTTTCTCAGTGTAGTCTTGGCTGTCCTGGAACTCACTCTGTAGACCAGGCTGGCACTCACAGAGATCTGTCTGCCTGCCTCTGCTTTCTGAGTGCTGGCATTAAACTTCTAGATACTGTATTATGTTTTCCAGCTTGTCTTCAGTGGGAAAGCACTGATTTCCCTGTTATTGTATATTCTAGTGTATTTGAGTACTCTTGGTTCTGATAGTCCACTTACACTTAAAGAATGGTGCTGCTCATTTTGTTTTAAATGTCATATATTTTGAATTGAATATAGTGGCTTCTGAGTTGAAGTCAGTTGCTCAGAAGCCCATTGGAGCTAATACTTTTTTTTTTTTTTGAGACAACATCTCCCTACGTCACTTTGTAGCCCTGGCTGGCCTGGAATTCAGAGATCCTCCTACCTCTGCCTCCAAATTCTGGGGTTAAAGATCTGTGGCCCCACACCCTTTTAATGATGGCTAAGAAAAGTCAGTTTCCTTAAAAAGAATAGAGCACAGGGACATGGTGACTACAAAGGCCTCATCAACTGGGGCTGGCGACACTAGGACTAGGTCTTTTTTCCCCTTTTTCTCCTTCCTCCTTTTCTTTCTTTCTTTTTTCTTTTTTTTTCCTAAAGATTTTATTTATTTATTATGTATACAGTCTTCTGCCCGCATCCCAGAGGGCACCAGATCTCATTCAAGGTGGTTGTGAGCCACCAGGTGGTTGCCAGGAATTGAACTCAGGACCTCTGGAAGAGCAGTAAGTGCTCTTAACCGCTGAGCCATCTCTCCAGCCCCTCCCTCCCTCCTTTTCTTGAGGCAGTCACACTGTGGAGCCCAGGCCAGCTGAATTCACACTCCACTCTTTAGCTTTGTGAGTATGTTGTGTAGTACCACACAGGTGCTTGGGTACCTGCAAAGTGAAAGCATAGCTTCTTCAGGGCATTGGAGAAAGAACAACAGATTTTGTTAATGTTTTGCTGTTATTTTGGGGAGGGAGGGATGTCTTCTAATGATTTTGACAACAGTTACTTTAAGATGAAACAAAAGAAATCAGTGTATAGAAAGACAAGAGACCTCTTTCTCTTCTTCTGGAAGTAGGAAGTTTTATCATGAGTAGGGCTGCTGGGAAAAATGATGTGAGGCCCAGTAGATAATCCCCGTTATTTCCTTCAGTCATTCATGCTTGTGGACGTTTTTACTGTGCTGATTGTGAAAAAACAAAGGCTTTGACTTTTCCCAGTGCAGATGCTTTCAGATAGTGAAGGTTTTTGGGGTTTGGCTCATGTTAAAATTGGGGCACTGAGGTCGTAATGACTTACCTGACAAGTCCATTGCCCTGTGCAGCCCTTGATGGCTATGATTTTTGCTCCCTGTTGTGAGGTGTTTGCTTCTTCACAGATCTTCAGGTCTCCTGGTTGGAGGTAGCAAGCCCTGCTGCAGCCAGGAGCAGGGACGGGGCGGTGAGTTAAGGATGCAGAGATCTGCTGTGGCCTTTGTACTCTGTGCTGATACAAGCCCACTTGCATCTCTGCCTGTTGTTCCTAGTCCAAAACTCCTTCTTGTCTCCAGAGAAAAGAAATTAATTTCTTCCAAGAAGTGGGAAGAAGTGACAGCTGCGTGGTGTGGTGGAAGTCGGTGGGGCGGTGGAGTGGGAGTTGGTGTCTTTAGCAGATGAACATCAATGCATTGCTTAGCTTCACCCTCCACTCTCAGAGTTAGCTACTTCTGAGCTTAGAGGGGATTTTGCTGAGTGAATTTAGGTTGTTTTAGGCTCCTTCTACTACTGGCTTGGAATTCTTTCCTTTCAGGGGTGGCCAAGTCCCAGTGGTTGCTTGTTGGAATCGCCCCACCAACCCCCAGCTGTTAATGGGTGCTTGTACTGGCACTCTGTGTTTGATGTACCCTTCTTTTAATGGACAGTTTAAAATGGCTGTTTAAGTAGCCACAACACATGTGACACTTGCAACATTTACTGAGACTTACTGTGTGCCGAATCCCATGATAAATATGTAGCCCCAGTTGGCCTGGAACTCACCCGAGATCCATCTGTTTCCACCTCCTGAGTTATGGGATTAAAGGCATCCATCAGGCCTGGCTCTTCAGGTGTTGTGTTCTGAACCTATTAGTGTCTCCTATTATTCTTAGATGAAGTAGTTTAGGACTTTGTGCATTGGAGTATAAGGTTAAGCTTCAGGTTGTTCGTGCTTTATCAAATCTTGTCCGTTTGTGTAGACTGGAAATGCTTAAAACTAAAGCAGTCGAGGAGGAGGTAGGATTGTGGGATTGCTTTCAAAGTTAGATTTGCTTTGTAGGCTGCTAAGGAAAAAGCCTTGTGCTGTGTGTGGTTTGTTGACAGTGCTGCCTGAACTTAGTACACATAATCCTGTGTTGTCTTTTAGTTCTGTTACTAATGAAAATGTTGAATACATTTTGATAACTATTGGCTGATTTGCTATAAAAACAAAATCAACTTTACACAACTTTGAGGAAAATGATCTAAAAAAGAACAGTAATTCAACATGCTGTGTTTATATGGTCACGGGGCCTGCAGAGATGGCTTAGTAGTTACGACTACTTGTTGTTGTAGAGGACCCTGCTTTTGGTCCATAGGCTTACCCACAGCCATTTGGAACCCTAGTCCTAGGGAATTGGATGCTCTCTTCTGGGCACCAGACATGCACATGAGGCATCTACGTACATGCAGTCAAAGCTCTCAGTTTTGTGTTTTTTGTTTTTTTTTTGAAGAATGCTAGTGTTTTTGTGTCAAATATCTTTTGTATTCCTCCCTGGTGATTCTGTTAAAGAGAAGTAGTATGGGTTCTCTCTAGATGGGTGCTAGTAAACTGTCCATATATATTTTATGTCAGGAAAGTTTGTCTCAATGATAGTAACAATGCTTTTTTGGGGGGGTGGGGGGCTTCGAGACAGGGTTTCTCTGTGGCTTTGGAGACTATCCTGGAACTAGCTCTTCTAGACCAGGCTGGTCTCAAACTCAAAGAGAACCGCCTGCCTCTCCCTCTGTCTCCTGAGTGGTGGGATTAAAGGCCTGTGCTACCACCACCCAGCTAGTAACAATGTTATTAATCAAAACCCTATAACCCATCACCAGCTGAACTCAAAACAATGTAAGGAAGACAGAACATTATTCTTGTTTAAAAGAAGTCCAGAGGGGCATTCCAAGTCTAGTGTGTTAAACTAATGCTAAAGCCCCGCTTTTCCCCATCAGAATGCTGTGCCAGCCTTGACTTATGGCTTTCTAAGATACTGGAGCTCATGTTCATTCAGAAGCTCTGACTTGCCCATTTGGCTATCTGTAAGCACCTCAGCTTTTCTGGGTGACATTATGACTCAGGCCAGTCAGTCATATCCAGGGCTCTTTGGTCACCACTGTCTTAAGGTAGAAACCTTTGTGCAGCAGACCTTTCTATAGTCCAGATACCAGCTGGCATTTGGCAGTTCTCACGTAGCTTGCCTGATAGTATAAGGCAGCAATAGTATAAGGAAGGTGATGAAAATGCCTTCCTACATCTGCCTGGAACTCTGCCCTTCAGGGCTTGGGTTCTGTGCTGTTCCAGGGTTCCTACTTCCTAACAGGAGTCTAGCCACTCAGCACTTAATCTGATCTGCAAGACTTAATCTCTTTAATATCATCATATCTATTTTCCAGCTAGTTAGAAGTTCTAAGAGCCAAGACACTGCCCAAAGTTGCACAACATTTCTCTGAACATCTTGTTAGCCAAAATTCAGTCACATAGCCATATGTGGTTTCAAGTAAGTCTGTGGAAGTCTTTTGGATAAAAGATAATGGACTCAGACCTAAACTTGGCTTTTGTTTATAAAGAATAAGGGCTAACTAGTAGATTTTGAAACAATCTTGTGAAAATACTAAAAATAGTGACTGTAATATCTTCTCCCTCTTAAAGATTATGAAAAAAATGTTATTCTGTATGGTAACTGGTTCTGGGCTTCTCCCTCCTTCCTTTTTAACTTTCTCCCTTTTTTTTTTTTTTTTTCTTGTCTCTGCCCCTTTCCAAAGCAAAACCAACCATTCTGTTGTCTTCTTCTTTTTTTAGGGCTTTCCGTGACATCTCTGAAGATCTGAAATCTTCAGTAGATTGACATGGCTTCACTGCTGTGACTCCTGTGGGGAGTTCTACCTCGACAGTGAATTCTCCCAGTTGTGGCCTCTGTCCTGTCAGCTGTGTCTGGTAGGCAGAGGCACCAAAAATGAAGCTGAAGCCTCCCAGCCTTACATGCAGAACACCAAGTGAGAGAGGACTTGCTCTAGGCTGCTTTGCATTTTAAAACACAGCTTGAGTTGGAAACTGTGTGTACTCACAGCTCATGCAAGGATGGCTTGAAAAGTTGCAGTTCGTGCACTGGTATCAAGGCTTGAAATTGGCCTCATTGATTGTCTACTGCAATGCATATGTATAGAGTTACTTTAAGGATTCTAAAATACCTGCTATTAAAAGTATATTCAGTGTCATTTTTCTCCTGCCTTAGGAGTTCTTAGCCCCTTTTGAGTGACTTTCACTTTGGAGTATGGCTTAATAAGCAGAGAAAATGAGTCTTACACCCTTTTAGAATAACCTTTTCCCCTTCTTGGAGGAGAAAGGTGTTGTAGAAGTGATGGTGGGGTATGTGTGCTGTGACAGAAGAGAAGCAGTAGGAGTGGAGCTCTCCCTCCTTCCTCCCCTTCACCTTTCCTCTCAAGGTTGCCAAATTTCTACAACTTTTCTGACCACATTGGATGAAGATCCTCATTGAGCTGCTGTGAATAGTAATAGTGTAATAGCATCCATGCTGTCAACTTTCTTCTTGAACTCTTTTACAAGAAGAGACTCTCAGGTGCAGTGGTACTCTGGTTTGCTGTGTGTGTCCCTAGCCCTTTACTTGGAACTCTACCAGTAAGTTACTTAGCAGCAGAATTTTATGTTTTCTGCCACTTATCACAGTGCCTTGCACATGTGACTCTAGATGAATGCTTGCTGGGTTCGACTGTAACTTTCTACGTATCTCAGATATGACATAACCATCATAGTGCTTCACATTTTCAGCCTGTGTGTATTACTTACACTCATTTCACATCAGCTCTCTCAGCTTTGTATTCTCAACAGTGTCACACTCGTCAGGGCACTAAGCTTCAGGACAGTGGCAATGCAGAGCCACCAAGTGTTGTAAGACTCGGTCTCCCGTCTTCTGACTTCACATTGGCAAACTCTGTCTCGGTGCATTTTTTAGGGCTCAGCAGTTTCCCAGTCCTGCGTCCCAGGTGTTGTCAAACGTTCCTTGCAAGTAAAAGAAAGCTTGTTCTGCTTCATGACATGGTTGGAAGGAGAGCCAGCACCTAGTTCTGTGCCCTTCCTAGATGGCTGTTCTATCACCAGCCCTGCCTGTGCCCAGAGGGAATGTGAAGCAGAAGAGATTTGTGTCAAAGATTTTTTTTTTAAGCACTTAAGACTAAAATTAACTTTTCCTAAAACATCTCACTAAGTTTATAAATTTATTTATGTCACAAGTAATAAACCCCACCTAGTGCAGTATCTTGACTTGGCTGTGTATAGTATAGCACAAGCAGGTCTTCTGGTGTATCATGAATCCTTCAATGTTTATGACCTGTTACTCCATTACCTGTTAGATTTGACCACTAGATCACTCTGTTCTTTAATCAGTTGCTCATTTGTTAATTAACACATTTCTTGAGCGTTAGTAAACTCTAGGCACCATTCCAGGTACTGTATAGGGTGCTATGGGAGATAACTCCAGAGGCAGCCTCTCACCTTAAACGCTAGCCAGATCATGTATCATACTAAATCCAAAATTCTTGTATTAAAATGGCTGAAGAGAGAAACCAAGGTTGTGATTGTTTACTTTAACCTGGTAAGTTTATAGCTATAATTAGCACATGCTCATAAGAGGCAAATATACACAGTGGTTTGTGTGCATATACAAATTATGTTGTTCCAATGTGCTTTTAGTCATGTAAAAGCAAAATTGCAAAAACCTAAGTTTGAGCTAATTCATAGCTGTTGGTAGGATAGTTCTCAGTCTGAATGTAAAGTTGTTCATTGGGAACCCCGAACTTCATAAATTAGTGGCATTGACCTAATACCTTCCTGAAATTTTAGGAGCAGAGGTCCCCACATTGCCACACAGTCCTATCAAACCACTCCGTTGATTCAGGAAGGCCACCATTTGGATAGGTTGGAACCACAAAAGCACCCTGGCATGTGTCAGGAACAGGGATTTTCCTAGGATAGATAGAGAGCAGGTATCATGATAAGGTAGGAATCTTTAGCTTAAGTCTCTGCCCTACCCTGAAGAGTTTGCATGGGAATTTGACCCAGGAAGAAGTTTCCCCAGGAACAGAGATGGTGTCTATCTATGCCTGGCCTGTTTTTTTTTTTTTTTGTTTTGTTTTGTTTTGTTTTTGTTTTAGTATAGAATGCTGTGTGTGTGTGTGTGTGTGTGTGTGTGTGTGTGTGTGTGTGTGTGTGTGTGTGTGTGTGTGTGTGTGTGTGTGTAGAATGCATCCATGAAGCAAAAGTAGTTTCAGTGAAACTGAAGACAGAACTCTGACATAGCATCTTGGATTGTGTAGATACATTAGGGGTTAGCTCCAATTCCCATTCGCTGACAGTTTTAAATGGAATGGGTTCAAGGGGAGCTGAGAAGCTGTGTGCACCCATCTGCTCCTATTTTTGATATGGGTACAGGGCTGGAAGCATAATCCATGTTATGTTCCTCCTGCCTGAATCCCACACTCTTATTTCTAGACATGATCTATGGGCCTCTTTGGCTGCCAGTGTTAGATACTACTAAAACTGTGAATCTCCTAACCCTTTTCCCCCAAGAGCGGGATCTCACAGAGATCCTCCTGCCTCTGCCTCCCAAGTGCTGGGATTAAAGGCGTGCGCCACCAACGCCCGGCTGGCAACATACTTTTAGTTCCTGCAAAGAACAACTATTTATCTTCAGTTTATTTATTTTTATCAGTTTCTTGTCTTTACTATTTTTGTCATCAAATGTGTTCTTTTTTTTTTTTTTTTTTAAACTCATTAAAGTCTGGGGTAAACACTTATCTGAAGCCACTAAGCAGATTCCTTGATAACTTAAAAACATACAAGAGAATTGTAGATGAACATTCTTACCAGTCACAGAAGTTTTGTGCTTGAATGGGCTGTTGTTATGAGATGATGTGATTGTTTTAGAGAAGGAAACAGATTTATTGGCAAAGTAGCTTATGGTACAGAGCCAGTTAGCAGCAGAATTCAGAGTGATATATAGATCGTCTCCCACTCAGCCCACCTTCTGCTTTCCTTCCCTTTTCCTCATGACCACTTTTGTCAAAAAAGAAGATGTTCTGTATAGCAGTCATTTGCAGAATTAATGAAGTTGTAAGAGAAAAACTGCTAGGGTAGGGAGATTCCATGGTCAATTTAAATTGAGGAATGCTAAGTTGTTTCCTTTCCCTGGGATGTTTTATTATGTCATGACACATTGTGAATTTAGGAGGGACAGACTGTTTCATTGTATGTTGTACCTCTATCCTCTCCCTTCCCTCTTTCTCTGAGCATCTTAAAAGACCAGGGGTCTTTTTGAGCTTTTGATCAAGTTTATAGGTCTTGTAGAAGACGATTGCTGGTAAGAATACTGGCAGTGCATGTGTTACCGTGCATCCATGGGATGGCAACAAGTCCCAGCAGTCTGGTAAGACACCAAGAAAGAAGACATTCTTTCCCAGCTGTGGCACACAAAGTCAGTATCCCCAAGTTATCCAAGAATCACCTAAATTGCAAATACACTGGTGATGTTGGTACTGCATCTTAGCAATGCTTTTGTATGGCACTTTATAATTTTCAGGCACCTTTGGGTTCAACCCTGTGAGCTAGATAGTATTACAGTCATTGTTCAGATGAGGCACTGGAAGCTCCAAGAAGTGTGTTGTTGTTGACTCCTTCTTTTCTCTTTCTCTCTCTTGCCCTCTTCTCTCCCAAGTTTAGATCACAAAAGGATGGAGCCAGAATTTGGTTACAGTCTCTGACTCCAAGTCCAAAGTTCTTTATACTGGTCTTTCCTTCTACCTTTATGTATACGACGAAGGTATGGAAACAGATCTAACAGTGTATTTGCTTATTGTGAAATACAAATTCTTTTGTATTGGAATGTAACCCAAAAGTGTAACTCTTACTGTAGTTGTCCTAGAGAACCCTCCTTTGTCCTTGCAGTGCTACTTGTTAAGGTACTTGGCTTGTACTTCAAATACTGTTTGATTGTGAAACTAAGATTGAGCATATTGTAATTATTTAGCTTTGAAAATGTATCGCCTCTGCATTCTCAGGTGAAGGAAAGAAATAGTTTGACAGGAAAACTAGCATTCAAATGCGACAATAAATATCCTTTATTACATAAATGCTGTTTCTTAGCTTTAATTTGCTTTCACAACTTACTGATGTAACATCTTTGTAAAATGTAATATATTTCTATTTTGAAATAAAGTCACAAATGTTGGATGAAATGGGTAATAAGCTTTGCCATTTATTTATTTATTTTGATAAATTTCATCTTTATCCAGACTTTCCCTACATCTCCTACCTTTGGTGCCAGTATTTTTGTGAAATTTGGTCATCTTACATGAAGGAAACTGTCTGGGGAGCGATGTTTGCACGTTAGAGAAGCCAAAGGGGCCATATGTGAGGCAAGAATCATCAGTGCATTGGAGAGAAGCAGCCTTGTAGACAAAGTGTGAGGATGGTGGTTGAAGGTAAAAACTGGAAGACAAAGGCCTGGAGAGGTGGCTCAGCAGTTAAGGGTATATACTGCTCTTCCAGAAGACTCAAGTTGGATTTCTAACACCCATATTGGACAGCTGGTAACCACCTGTAGCTCCAGTTCTAGGGGATCTTATGCCTCTGTTTTTCACAAGCACTGCACATTCCAACATATAAACACAATCTAAAAGAAAAAGAAAAATTGGGATATGAGTTGAATTCAGGAGCTCTTCTTTTTTAAGGAAGAAAAGAAGCGAGTTTTGCTATCTCCATTACCAGATACCCGTGCTGCTTCGGCAGATGAAGCTAAGCCCTGCAAGTTTGCTTTCAGCACTGCAAGTTGAACCCATCAGTCTAACTTTATTGATGGAGAAAGCCAGTCTCAGATTCTTTTTTGTGTCTCGGTAGATGCTTGTTAGTAGCTATGGTCCTTCAAAAATACTTTCTTATGCTTCTCAGTCAGTTGCTTAAGTCTAGAATCCTTCCTAAGGTGCAGGCTTTTGAAAGCCTTCTTTGGCTTTGTTCCTGGAAACTGGAGGAAAAGGAGTGTTGGCACTCCTCATCACAGGGATTCTGTGTGAGCTCATGGTTGGGCTGCGAGAATGGATTCTTAGCCTTAAGTGACTTCAGTCAGAAATAGACACAATCTTTTCTTTGAAGGAGCAGTTAACACGCTGCTAGTTCTTAGCTAATACTAAAATAATTGCAAAAAGTAGTTTTAAAAAGATGGAGTATTTATCAGTGCATGCAACTTTTGTTTTTAAATTTTTTTGAAAGTGAATTCTAAAGATGCTGCCTGCAAGATCCACTGCCTTCTTGCTGAGTATCAAGATGCTTACTTGAATGTATCAAATGTTTCAACTCAGTGTGAGAGATACATAATCAGAAAATAGGAGTGAAGGGAAAATTGGGTGGACCTTCTTGGGAAGCCATGGAAAGATAATTACAAGTATAATTGCCATTTCAGGGCAGAGGTTCCCTACCATTTTCAACCCCATCTAAACTTGCAGAAATATTTATGGAGATTCAGAATTGACTTTTGAGGCAAATGGATTTGGTGGGAAACTCTGCTGGGGACAGTTGTCTTCTGGTGAGAGGCTTCGTGAACCTGGGGAGGCCCTCAGGTGTCTGGTTTCTCCTGCTTTAGGCAAAATCTGTTTTGGCACACACCCCAAAGAGGCACTGGTGCCTTCTACAGGGCGGCAGGGGTGGGACAATAGCAGCGGGTAGGTGGGG